CATACAAGGCAACCATGTGCCCCCTCAGCAGCTGCAGGTCATGGTTCAAGCGAGCCTGGGCGGTGGTGGCCTCAGCCTCCGAAAGATTGACAGCAATAATGTACTGAGATCTCGGAGGGAGCTTCCTATGCTACATAGGTTCCTGCGAATCGCGGGGGCATTCTAAATTGTCCGTGGCATGTTACACGCATCTTGCCTGTATGTCGTGGACGAGGCAGCTGAGTCTGTCCGTGGGGGCGATGCAGCAGGTGATAGCACTGCCCTTTTTCCGCCACTTCTGCTTCAGTGCAGCTGCAGGAGCTGCTTTTGTAAGTGGAGTGGAAGTGACATCTGCATACGAAGGGGCCACTTTCACCACAGTAGCCAGCGTTATGGGGACTAGAGAGTTTTTCGGAAGTGAAGATTCGTCTTCCTCGAAAGTAATGATCGAGCATATGCAGCACACGATCTTCAGGAATGGAGAGAGGCATTGCTCTAGCCATTCGTATTTGTCTGCATCGATTTGGGTGAATTTCAGGGGCAACCACCCATCACACCCATCAAAACGGAGCGCTTTGGCCATGGGGCCCACAATCCTGGAGCAGAATATACACGAATTCTTGGAAGCCTCGCTTTTTGAGAAATTTCTGGTTGAATAGATCCAGTAGAATGCACAAAACCACAATAGAATAATCCAATTTAGCACACGGTGGAAAACCCAGTGTACCGCAGTCAAGGTTTGAAAAAAAAATTTCACAAATTATCTGACCGTCAGGTTTCAAAATTTATGAAAGAGTTCAGTTCATTTCATCTCTTACAACCATTAACCATGCACTTTCGTGCGCCGGTTTTGGTTGCCCATTTGGATAAAGCAGCATAATGATGATTAGAATGTTGAGAGCAGATTCAAACGGAAGATAGCGCATTTTTTAGACTGAAGTTACAAAAATAATGAGTAAATGCATGCGCGCCACTGTTTGCGACACCCAGTCATATCGCTCACTGTCTCTAACCATCGGCGACCATGATATCTGGGTCTCCAGCCAGGGAGCCTAACGGAACTTATGTGAGCCAGTCTCCTGGTCAGGGTTTTCATACCCTCATGTCAGGTCTTAGCTTGACCGCCCTTCATTTATTTCCCAAACGTTACCGGCCTCGGCAACCATCGCTCGCTGTGGTAACCTATCTGGTGGCATGCGTAGCACCTGTCCCAACCAGCGTAATCTATGGAGGTCGACTACCTGCTCCAGTGGACGACCGCGATTGCCTAAAATTCTTAGCATTGCTCAGCCGGTTTCCCCACCAGACTCGTGTAATGCTGCGTAGACAACGGTGTTCGAACACCGACAATCTATTTTAATCCTGTTCCCGTCATGGTCAAGTCTCTACGCCGTAAAGCAGAACTGGCCGAACTGCTGCAGCATGATCAACAACTTCTGCCATCATTAAAACCTAAGTCTTAATCTTTTTTTAATCTGGAAGAGCTTACTGAATTATTATTGGTTTTAGCTACAGAACTGTTTCCGTTTACTTTTAAAGAACCTATTTAGCTGACTCTATAATAAGCTTTTAACATTTCCATCATCATACGCTGATGGTGTGCCAGCCCTGGACACCTTGATTATTGTGATGCAATAAAGGACTAACGAACTAAAATGCAAATATAATTGCATAGCTGGAAAATATTAAAATACCGTTTGGAGGTTGACTTCCACGGAGATCATAGATCAATAAATAGTACAACTTGAACGATTTTGGCTTGATTTGGCAATGATTCAAAATTTTCAGTTGCATTTATTCATAACATTGGTGTATTCCCTGGAGAGAAAGGGGAAAGACAGGTATTTCAGATTGACCATCCCGGTCAAAATTTAAAGTGTGATCGATCAGGACCAAGACAGCGCTCATTACCGTATAACAGAAGTGCACCAGGTACACCCATCCAATGATTTAACTCCCCATGAACTCAAATGACCCCAGTCGTATTGGCTTTTCTACTGGGGGGAATGTTGACACTCGACTTTTCAGTTTTTATCCTTCTAAGGGCTTTTTACGGCTCCAATAAAACTCTAGTTATTGTTAATATACTAAAATGTCATTAGAGCGATTTGTTCAAACCTTTTCCGTACTAAGTATGCCATCATTCTTCATGTGTTCTATATCACCTAATCTGTTACTATGCATATTTTTGTTTTGATTAACTAAGTTTCATGGTAAATTTGTTACCGAATCCTAGTTTCTTAGTGTTTATATTGAGTCACTGATAGATAAAAACTTCAATCAAAGTTAACTTCATATTAAAGTTCTTTTATGACTTTATGTTACGATTTTCCGGAGATTTTTTAATCTGTTTCTAATAGCAAAGTGGTATATCTCTTCTCGAATGATGGTGGTATTTCTATATAAATACCCATGAAATTCGTCCGTAGCTGAGGGCCCGATTCGTTGAACTCAATGGTTTATTCACTCCTACGTGAAATAAAAACGAGTTCCGTGGTGCAAATTTTTTATTATTGTAATTTTTGTATGCTTCTCATTAGGTAAGAAATGAAAATGGTGATCAAACTTTTGTCTCTAGTGCTACTCACATTGGGGTTCTATAAAACACTGGTGACATCGAATGAAGTTACAAAAACCTTATAATGTTTATTTGACCATTCCATAACTCAGGAAGTGTCTGCTAACCCAATCTTCATTATCCTTCTGTCAGCAGCTGTTCTTGACCTTTGAAGTTCAAAGATTAATTGAGTTGTCGTGGCCGTCATCCCAAAGGGGCTATTATTTTTGATCCAATTGCCGTAATCTAATAAGTTCATCTACAACTGTTTATAGTTTAAGAAAAAAAGAAAATAACAACTGAATCAGTAGTACTAAGGCAGAGGGAGAAAAAGGTGAATTTAAAAAGTGACTATTGATCGAAAGATAATTTGGTCACTTAGTAATTTCAAACAACAATAATTAAAAAAAACAATAGACAATTATATTCATTTTTAATTTATGGCACCACGTCCCTGAGGAAAGAAAGTCTGATTAACAATTTAAGTTTTAAATGGGCCTTAAAATGATTTCAATCTGTACCGGCGTTTACTTCGTTTCCAGAAAGAATTTAGCTATATTAAACTTGTTATGGTACACAAACAGAATTCCGTGAGCAAAAATAGGTACAGGATCGAGCGAGATAAAATCTAAAGGACAGTAAGAAAGGCTAAGAATGAACGATAAAATAAGAAATTCGATTAAGTTCAGTTCATTTAATTATACACTTCCGTGTGGCGGTTTAGGTTGCTATCTTTTGGATGAAGGAGTACAGGTGAGATTGGAATTTTGGAAGCAGCCTCAATATGGATATAGGGAATTTAGGTAGATTACGGTTTTAGAAAGACTGAAAATAGGCACCGTTTACGAAACTCAACCAGTCTCTCTGACTATCTATTGCTTTGATCCCGAGGTCCCCGATCAGGGAGCCCACCGCAAATTACATGTCTAATCGGGGTTTTTACATCTTCATTCCAAGTTTAATTTGACTGCCTATCACCTTTCACCGCTACCTGCCTCGGTGAATATCGCATGCCGTAAAGGTCGACTACCTGCCACCGCCATTACCTAAAACTGTGCGTTTAATCTCAGCATTGTTTTCCCGGTTACCCCATCAAACTTGCCTATTGTTGTGCAGACAACGACAGTTCTAATGCGCTGTCTTGAGGGAGAATAAGGCAAAACATTCACAAATGACTGACGATAAAGGATAGTTTCATGGCAAAAATTACTTGAACGATTTCGTAAATTTAAATGTGGATAGGAATTATTGTCTCAAGTGATTCTTCTTTCATTTGTTCAAGCAGCATTTTAGTTTTACTGTGCTCTCAAAACTGCAGATGGCTGCCTGCTGCCAGATGAAACAGTTTACGAGAATATTTTTTCATGTCCTCCAAGTTAGACAAACTTGTTGACAAATGTTTCATTAGTTGAGTTGAACTGTTTAGTGTTTTTGACAAAGTATGCAAGCATTTCAGATAAATTATGCATTGAATACGAGCATATTTTAAAATTCAATATGAATCCAAGTTCTGCCCCGTTATTCGATAAATTGCAGGTTTCTTATATTTCCTTAGAATAAAAGTTCCATTTTTGGCCAGAGAAAAAATAATCAGTTATTCGAAATGAAAATGGACTAAAATGGCCAAAATAATTTATAGTTTGATTCATAACGGTAGAATTAAGTTGATCAATTGGCGGTGGTGACCAAGCGGTGAAGTTTACCAGATTATCGCAGTAGAGGATATGCGTTGGAATTCATCCACCACTGTCTGACTTTTTCCATTCTCTGCGTTGTGTTGTAGCCCTTTGATTGGTCTCTTCTACCTACCTGAAAATTGTATCATTATACACTCAATGAAAGGAAGTATGATGAAAAGATAAAAAAGACGAAAGATGTTCTACGGCTTCACGACTATATCTAAGACTTGAGCTCAACAACGACCATCGGGTGTCTCATACCGCCTAACATTAGAGAGCAAAGACGATAGCATAAACGCTCCTTTGTTTTTTCCAGCGTACCGTCTTTGGTTGTTCTGTTGCACTTTTCCGACGGTGTGATTGGTCACATGTCAACAAATGAGATAGTTTTATCAAATCCGAAAATTAATTTTTCATATTTACGCGACGCGCGAAAGCGACGCATCTAGAGTGGCAACTCTCTTATTTTGAAATATTGAAATCATAGCAAATTTAATACCAGGAGCTGATTGCCACAGTTCAAAGATCAAAATCACGGTTCGGAATATGTAATTAATTAAGTAAATAATTTTGTTTATCGTCTATATGAGAGCAGAATCCGGTGGAGTTTTGTAGATGGCATCATTTATAGAAAAATATTATTACTTCTCAGTGGTAAAAATATTGAGGCCAATGGAGGTCGTTCCCTTGATAACATAGTACATTTATACATAGCACGTTTACCAATATTGTTCAAGATTTCATTTTTTCCTCCATTAAATTTTGCACACATTGTTTTTTCGCAGACTTAATCAATACTATGCGGCTAGAAGTCAGGCCTGCTTATAAAGTGATCAGCAATTTGAAAGAACTCGAAGCTGAGCGCAATATTGACCAGGCAGCTCTTCTGGTTCTAACAAATTCTTCAACTCATCCATTAATTGAATTGGTTGATCAGACAAGTAAGTGCATGATTCATCCTGAGATTTAATTTTGCGAATTGACTGAACGATGCATGTAATTTACCCATTATTGTAAGTAGTAAGTGGTACTTACATAAAAGTGCTGAATGGTATTAATATTGTGACAATGAGTGCTACCCAAGAATAGCAGATTTACAAATTTACTCATTTATGCTCTTTCAATTTGTTCTTTTTGCACTCACCGCCCCATTTAATTTTCAATGTTATTACGTTGAAATTCTGCTTATTATCCAGCCGGTGATTATATATGCAAATATTGGTGTACAGACAATTAAATACATCCACCTTTTCAATTTTATATCCCGACCAGCCATTTGTAACCAAGTCATACAACGGCGAGCAAACGTTTCCGGATGCACGAAAAGTTTTAGTTGTTGCACAAAAAATAAGCATTACATTTTCTCGACGTATTCTCCAATAGCGTTCATGCACAGTTTTATGCATTCAAACCACCTGATGAAACAGCTCGACCATACCGAAGCTGGTAATCCTTCTACGACTTCAATAAAGGCTTCCACTACAGCTATTGATGACTTGTATCGTTTTTCACGCACCATGCGCTTGACATTTGGGAACACAGAAAGTAAAACGGAGCCAGGTCTGGACTGTATGGTGGGTGACCAACCTCGATGCGTTCTCAAGCCAGAAAATCACCGACGACACGAGACCAGGTGCGTTGTCATGGTGCAACAAGGTCCCTCGTTCTCGAGTCCTTGGAAGACACCTGACAATAGCTTCCAGTACTTTCAACAAAGTGGGTGGCGTACCAGTCTCCGCTACCTGTGCTTTGCTGTAAGAGAAGACCAGTATTTTTATGAACACTGTCAGCGTATGCTTTGCCACACGGCGGTCGTGTCGAAATTTCCGAGGCGGCGCTCCTCCAACCGGCATCCATTGAGACGATTGTTACTTGGCTTCTGGGTTGAAACTGCACCGCGGGACTCATCGTCACTGATGACCTCCCACACTGCATTTCAACGTCCACCACCAAACCTGGCAAACTTGGTGTGGTACCAAGTCACCCAACTGAGCAGATGGGATACCCAGCGTGTGCAAACCTTTCTGGTATATATATAATATTTATACGAAGAGTCGCTGGACATGATCCGCTCGGAGGTCGAGATTCTCATGTAAGATGGTGCGGATGGATCCCGATGCGATCTTGATGGCTTTCGTCAGCCGTGACACTTTCATCCACGCATCCTCCACTATCGGTTGCACAGCAGCAATGTCGTCCGCTGTGGTGGCCTACACAGGTCAAANCAAACTCATCGTATCTCATCATCCACGGACCATCTCTCACGCCTGAGTTCCGAAAACTACTCAAACCTTTCTCTCAACATTTCAATCTTCATTCTGCTCTTTTATTTAAATGGGCAGCCAAAAGACACCAACCAAAACCGGCGCATGAAAGTGCGTAGTTATTGGTTGTAAAAACCGAAAACGAAACCACTCAAACAGTACCCCTTGACTGCCAGCCGTCATCAAAAGCAACTTGCAAACGATCAACGCTCTGATGCTGCTGTAAACCACATTTGTAGCAGAAAATCGTTGCCCTCCAGTGACATCGATTGAGTTCCATCTTTATAGTTCGAGTATAGAGAACCCTATGACTCGTGAGTTGTACTCGGCTACTGGTATTTGATTTTGCGAGTTGCAATCAATGAANTTTCACGTTTTAATTGTCCGGTCATCCTCACCTCGTACGTGTACTGCGTATCTGGAAACGTTTCGTTCAACCCTCGTGGATGCATGTAGTTGATACTGTCAGGATTGTCCTGTTTTCACTAGGTTGAGCATTATGAGTTCATATAAGCAGATTCGTTTTTGCTAAGAGCAACTATTAATCATACACTTTCGCGTGGCGATTTTGTTTGCTGTCTTTTGGCTGCCCATTTGGATGAAAGGGAGAATGAAGGTTGAAAAGCTGAAGCCGCTGTCAATCAAAAAATGGGGAATTCCTTTATTCTAAGGCTGAAAGGTAATTGAGATGCTCAATAGTCATTGTTTGCTATACAGCCATTTCACCCAGAGGCTTTAAATCTTGATTACAATGGTCCCGTAGTCCCCACCCGGGGAGTTTACCCTGACCACTATGACTGAGTCTCCTAGTGAGGGTTTTCATACCCTCATGCCAGGTTTTGATTTGGCAGTCCTTAAATTTTTCTACCCACTACTCGCCCAGTAAAAATTGCTTGATTTGATAACCGACTTAAAGATAGACGTAATACATGGGCCAACAAACGCAATCTATGATGGTCGACAACTTGCCCAATTGAGCCAAGGCGATTACCTAAAACCACATGCCTAACTTCGGCGTTTTTCGTTTGGTGGCCTCATCCGATTCCCGTAACGCTGTGTAGATAACAGAGTTTGAACACTGACAATCAATCGTCATCCTGAGTGAAGAAAAAAGAGATTAGGCTTATAAATAAATTTATGGTCAAGTTGGATGCAGTGCACATGAAATACGATCAGTTTATTCACAAAGATCAAGTTAGTAGTAGTTTACATATTATAATTAGGGAACTCCGATATCAGTTATCGTTTTCAAAGTTTACGTATTGCGATTTGTACTATGTAACTGAAAATAAGATGTTCTTATTAATCTGTTCAGGAGTAAGATCCGATAACATTCTTTCAGATATCACTGAACAAAGAATAGATCCATAAACTCTGATTAAAGTGGTTTCCTGACTTGAATATTTGTATATTCTGGTGAGGATCCTAAATATAAACACTTCTTTTTCCCATTGCAGTACGATTTGCGGACTCCAATTTATATGCAGCTCTGTGCAGAGACATCGAAGTCAGAAGGGAATATAAAGTGGAGGATACCGAGTTTTCGGTCTTTTTGATACACGCGAAACGGTTCTCTCACGGATCACCCACTATCATAGATGTGACCGAGGTAACCCCGTATCCAACTAACAATTTTCGTCTGTATAATGCTAGTGCTCAAAGATTCTTTTTGGCATTATTCGCTGGATGAAGACAGCTAAGATTAACCTTTTGCATGTCAATCAGATTCATATTGATTCGATGATCTAGGTTTCTCATTGTGATAAGTTAATGGCATCAATTTTTACATTTAGTAAAAATGGGAAAGGAAAATAGACAAAATTAAGTAACTATAACTATAAAGAATACGATTTTATTGGTGTTAAGTCGAGGAGAGATTGATCACTGTTATTTTAAGAATTTTTCGGCAATGGAAGACTAGGATTCAAATCACTTTGCTTGGTCATCATTGATGGATAGAATACAAAGCCAATAACATATATATATATATATATATATATATAGTTCAATTGGAAGTTTGTCGTACAATCTAGAGAGGTAGCTAACTTAACCCTGATTATGATACATTGGGAAGTTTTCGATCAAATTAAAATTCCAGCTGCTGCGCGGTAATTGAATGAACTTGACATTGAACTTAATCGCTTCAGAGACTGCATAAATGTGAAAAAAATAATATTTAATTAGATCCAACCGTTGTTTGCTACCAACCTCAAGTGAGAAGGTATACCAACCTTCATCTGTGAAAAATATGACTTCTGCCAATGCATTTGAAGAGTAGCAGTTACCAAAAACCTCCATTATCAATGCAAAATATTTTGCGATATCCAGATTGGTGTATGCAGGAGGCCATTAACAAGGCATTCGGTATTTACTTCCGTTCTAACTCGTCAAGTGGGATGAATATTTACTTGTTTTGACAGGTAAAACGAAATGCATTAGAAATCTAGCTTAGTAGATCAGTTCTCACTGCATGCTGATTTTATCGTTGGGTACCAGAGAGATAAACCCATTGTCAAATGGGCGGTCAACGCGATTTAGATTTGTTGGTAAAATCAATACTTTTTGATCGTTCCATAACGGCTTCATGTCACGTGGCCTCAGCTGCATCTTAAATTTATCCATCATTTTCCAAATGAAGGCGTGAGGAAAAAACAGTTAATTATCCCGGACTATCCTCCAGATTGGTTTTATTCAGCTCTTCCCTACCGCGATCGAATGCAACCATCGACTTGCTTTGATATGATTTTTTTCTCTCGGTTTATGTTTTGATGGAGAAATTTCGTTGAATATGCTACAAATTGGACTTATGTTCACATCGAAGCACTTCCATAAGACACAAACTGTGTCATCAGATTTATGCGCCTCTGGATTAAGTTGTCTCCAGGCTTCAATTATATGCCAAAACCCTTCGAATGTTTCCACCGATTTGGGTATGGTGACACTACAAGACGCTTATCCGACTAGCCACACACCTCAAGGTCAACTTTTGAAGATCAACTTTTATGTTTCTTGGACCATGTTTTCAGTTCTTTTAGTAGTGTAGATAATGCATGATTAGTTTAAAACCAAATAATTTATAAATTTACTAAAGCTAGAATATTTTCATTAATTTGCTTATTTACTGTGCAATACACGAACAGAGATGAGCGGGTAGAATACGTTTACTCAACTTAATAACCACTCTCAGGGAACAGGAATCGTTTATTAAAGAGAATGAAATCCTGTGCTTCTTTGAGTGAAATGTTTTCGAAATCTCAGCTGTAACTTTCGAAATACTACAAACCTTTTGGAACACTCAAGGTCACGCAAATTCAAACTGTGGTAGGATAGAACTAGAACACGGATATGGGAGATAAAATCAGAAATAAATACACTTTACCCATAGCCATCAATATACAAGTAGGATATTGGAGAATGAAATGTATTCCAAAAACGAGAGTGATGTTGCACGAGTTTGATCAACACCTGTATAACCAACTTGTTGATTTTTTTATTTCAGGAGCTAATATGAGACAAAAGGATCAGCAGACACAATGATAAATTTTATATGTTCAGTTCAAACTGTGCAGATTAATTAACATTTTTCACAGGGTTTTAAATATTTTATTTCAATAACCAAAAATTTCTTCTCTGCTTCTCTGCATACTTCAAATTATTTCTAGCGCAATTCTCATATCCGAAATTGCGTTGATATAGCTGAGTATCGTAAACAGAGTTGATCATGCATCTATTGACTCTCTCACGCCCAACTTTTTACATGAATCCATTCTTCTTCATCCATCAAAGTGATGACCATAACCATAACCAGATCACAAAATTGCAGGGTTAAATGTTGCGAAAGCTGATCGGAACCGCCATCTAACTAAATTATTGTACCCACTTACTGATACTTTTATAGTTTTCTAACCTCTGAGCGTTTGTATTTATAGCCGCAAAGACAGCAAATCTCGTGGGATTAAACCTGATAACCTAGCCGAGCTTTAGGATGAATGTCCACTTACAAATTTTCTAAATAACCAAACGACCTTGTTTAGCCTTTTCAACCGCTGCTCATCCCAGCTGTCAAATAATTCCGGAAGAATTTATTTAGAAAAATACTAGTCCATGTCAAAGTGGTCTGCTGAAGTTGAATCTCTTCTTTATTCATTAATCTGGGCTAAATAATACATTACTCTGACCACAATGTTTCCGATACTGTTATTTATTGAAAAAGAAAAAAGCTATTAAAATAAGGTTGACCAAAATTAAATCGCCTTTGAGTGTAATCTCTGTGAAATAATCTCGATTCACATAAGGCTAATAAAAAGGCTCCCCAAATTACATAATGCTGGATTGGTATTCTCGAACCTTCCAAGTCATTCTGGTTGAAAACACTTATTCCATGTAAACGTAAAAATAGAACGTAGAATATCAAGTAATAAATATTTACCGAGAGTAAAACATGCAGTGTGTTCCCATCTTTTACGTTACGGATGCTTTGGGTTACAGTTTCAACCACTCTGTTTAAGCCATCACGACGAGACTGCACCTTGACCTGGTGTGATGACTTGCGTGCCTCAATGACCCTGCGAGCTACACAGGATGGCTTTTCACAGCCGTAGATCCAATGATGCCTGAAAGGTCAACGGGTAGAGGCCAGACAAAGCTTAGTCTCTCGAAGCCAGCTGCTTGGGCACCTCCTGGCTTCCTTCTTCTATCCACACCCGCCCCTGGAGAGGCCACTCCAGCAAATAAACACGGTGAGGGGCAGTTGACCGGTCGAAAAACTCCCGCTAGATGGACGTAGGAGCGGGGTACATGGGCTTCTTCTCGACGGTGGGAGAAGTCTTCTCACTTCATTGGACAGCTACCGCCCGCCCAAGATGGGTAGCCCCCATCCAGTAAGGTGCTGTCCCGTCCACGTTCCGCTTGCCTCATTGGGTGCATGAGGCTAAGGGCTGATCCCGAAAAGCAGACCGATAACCAACGCTTCAGCGATCAACAAACTTAACCGAAATTCAAAGGCCTTGCGTAACAGGTCTCCAGGAGCTCCCATACGGGTGCTTTGTTCACGCTCCCAAGTTGGACTTACGACCCACTGCCTTGTGGGTCAGACGTTTGAGTCAAAGGCTCCGGTTAGGGTTCCCAAAGAAAACCCACCTCGTCGGTGTGGGCTACCGCGAAGTGTGTCGCGCCCTAAAGTCTTAGGTACCCATTTGGAAAACCATCCTTCCCATCTGTCTAGTTCTTCTTCTCAACCCCGAATAATCCCAGATATCTCCTGTTTACATCACCCATCGAATACCACTCAGCGTTTTACCATCAAGACCAGAGATTCAGAAGCGATAGGAATTTTAAAGCCGAAATCCCCTTTTCACTTAGCCGCGTTCAATGTCCACACGCTCTATCAGATTGGCCAGCAAGCTGCCCTGGCTAGAACCCCCGAAAATTTCAATGTAGATGTATGCTGTGTCTCCGAAACACGCACACAAGACCCCACTTCCATTATCTTTCTGCGTCCTCCTGATCCAAACTCAACCTCACGCTTCACCCTTCGTGTTCCAGGCAATTTTTCATCCGAAGCTCGCGGTGTTGCTGGTGTCGGCATTGCACTAAGTGCCAAGGCTGAGCGCTCGCTTCTTGACTGGATTCCAGTCAGTAGCCGATGGTGTGCTGTACGTCTCAACGGTTCAGTTCGAGTGAACAACTACAGAACGAAGCGTCGATGCTTATTCATCGTATCGGCGTATGCACCGACCGATTGCAGTATAAATGATATCAAAGATGAATTTTACAAGGATCTTTCTCAACTACTCCAAAGTGCTCGATCAACGGACGTCGTAGTAGTCGCCGGAGACCTCAATGCTCAAGTCGGATCCCTGGACGGATTAGAAAGGCTTCTTGGCGGACCACATGCAATCCCAGCCAACCGGACGGACAACGAAGATCGCCTACTTCAACTCTGAAAGGACCACGGATTGTTCCTGTCAAACACGAACTTCTCGCTCAAGAAACGCAATCGACTTACATGGAAACCGCCAACCTCTTCACTGCGCTGGACCCAAATCGACCACATCGCTATCAGTTACCGCTAGAGGGGATCAATTCAAGACTGCCGCTCTTACTGGTCAACAGCTGTAAATAAAGACCACGCATTGTTACGAGCCAAGTTTTCTTTACGCCTGGCAAACAACCGCCAAAAAGCCACCGACAATGGAAACCCGTGATACAGTGTCAGCGATTTATGCAAATCGAATTCGAAGCAGAGCTCTCCGATCGCCAACAAAAAAATTGCAAAAGGTGTACGGTGAAACACACAAAAAATTCTGTTATTTTGTATTTTCCATGTTTAACTGTCTCACCCACTTTTCACCATGTTCTGTATCCTAATCCACCTATCCCCTTCACTGTCATTGTTGTTGCGTTGGCACCATGCTTGTTTTCAAGCCGGTGGTAAATATATATATATCTCCGATCGCCTGTCAGTTCAACCACCAGCCGAAGGACACTGGAAGCAAATCAAGGAAGCTAAGCAGATATCAATGAAAACAACGTCGGACCCTGCCTCAAGCTCAAAACACAAACGATGGATTTCTTCGACCTCGGTTACCCTGCTGGACGCCCACAGAGCCATTCCTCCGTATGCCATATACGACACAGCGCGCAAGTTCCTTAAACGCTAGCTCATCAAGAGTCTGAGGAATGACCGTG